GTGTGTGTGTGTGTGTGTGTGTGTGTGTTAGGGGCGCCCCAGGACTCACTGTGTGTTGTGGTTCAGGCTTCCAGGCTCTGGTGCTGACAGCCCTGTTGGTGAGCCTGGGGGTGTCAGCTGGGCTGCCCGTCGGGGAGCTCGCGGAAATGCTCTTGCCCCTGGCGTTTGTGGCCACCCTCACCGCCTTCATCTTCAGCCTCCTTCTCTATCTGAAGGCTCTACTAGCCCCCACCTCCGCCCTGGCACCTGGGGGGAACTCAGGTGAGAGGGGTCCCAGTAGGGTGAGGATGGAGGAAGACCAGGGTGCTTGATTGCACCTTCACCCTCCGTTATCCTCCAGGCAATCCCATTTACGACTTTTTCCTGGGACGGGAGCTCAACCCGCGCATCAGATCCTTTGACTTCAAATATTTCTGTGAGCTGCGGCCCGGCCTCATCGGCTGGGTATGCTGGGCACAGCTAAGAGGGCCTGGGCCTGGCGGTGGGGTGGGATGGGTGAGCAGTGCTTGGGCAGGGTGGGGCTGGTATTGCGCAGACGTAAATCATTATTCGTTCATTCCACAAACACTTGTTGATTCACCATGTGCTCTAGACGCTAGGTATTAGGAGACGAGAAAAAAGTTACAGAAAAGAAAGGAAAAACAATCTGCCCTCATGGAGCCTGCATTAGAAAAGCAAAGTAGGGAAGGAGTTAGGAGAGCAGGTGCAATTTTAAATAAAGCAGTCAAGTGCAAAATCTATTTCAAGGAGAGTAGAGAGTGATCCTTTGCTGCTTGCTAGTCCAAGCAGTGCAGAACTTAGAACCGATCACTAGTGTCCTTGACCGACATGCCATCTGTGGTTTTTGGTTATAATCACTTATGTTGGACTGTAGTCAGGATTGCCCAAAGAGTCTCAGTCAAGGTCCCTCATGTCACCCTGGAAACCTCATTCAGAGGCAGGAGGAATGCCAAGTGCCTACCACGGATCTCGGTCCCAGCCTCCAAGGCTCTGTCCTCATGTGCAAAATGGGATAAAGAGCATCCAAGATTATTCTGAGTATTAGAAGTGGTGAGCTAATAACAGCACCGAGCCCACTGCTACCAGAATGAGGGGCCTTGGTACAGGCTGGTCCACTGTTATTGAGCACTAAGTGCCAGGCACGCTGCCTCATGCTTCACACGCATCATGTGGAAACCTCAGGCAGCTCCATGAGGCAGGTCCATGATTATCTTCGTTTTCCACGTAAGAGTGGGGAGAGTGGGCTTTAGAGAGGGGAAGCAACTCGTCCCAGTGGTGAAGCTAAGATTCAAAATCAGGTCTGTTTTAACTCTCAAGCCTGAAGTGTCTATTGGTTCCCTATGCTGTTTCCCAAAGGCCACAGTACAGGACGAGGCAAGAGAATACAGGCTGGGAGCTCCTCCCAGGTGCTCCATTGTAGTCCCTCTGTCCCTGGGTACAGGGCCTGGGTCCCTTCAACAAAGAGCTGGAGAGTTAGTGACTGACAGATGAGAGACAGCACTGCCCTACCCAGATGCTGCCCCTGCTGCAGAGGCAGGCTGGGGACAGAGTGTCATGTCTCCCCCCACCCCTCAGGTCCTCATCAACCTGGCCCTGCTGATGAAAGAAGCAGAACTTCGGGGGAGTCCATCACTAGCCATGTGGCTGGTCAATGGTTTCCAGTTGCTCTATGTGGGCGATGCCCTCTGGCAGGAGGTGAGGTCGAACTGGGTAAGGAGGCAGGGGAGAGTGCCTGAGGACCTCGTAGGGACTAAGGCAGTGTGTCTGGGTCCTGTCACTGCAGGAGGCTGTCCTCACCACCATGGACATCACGCATGACGGGTTTGGCTTCATGCTGGCCTTCGGGGACCTAGCCTGGGTACCCTTCACCTACAGCTTACAGGCTCAGTTCCTGCTGTACCACCCACAGCCCCTGGGGTTGCCAATGGCCTCAGTCATCTGCCTCATCAACGGTCAGTCAGGAAGGGGCAGCAGGCTGGGTGCAGCGTTCTCCCTCCCCTTTCATTCATTCACTGTTTATAAATCACCCACTAGGTAGGTGCTAAACCTCAGACTCTTCTCTAAAGCCGGGGGCTGGGTCCTGGGTCTCGAGGCAGACGGAGTCTGGGCTGTGGGGGTGTGGTCAGAGCTAGGCGGAAGGCTATGACCCTCCACCCTGACTGCCTGCTCACGCTTTTCCCCAGCCTTTGGTTTCTACATCTTCCGTGGAGCCAATGCCCAGAAAAACACCTTCCGAAAGAATCCTTCTGACCCCAGAGTGGCTGGTGAGCTGAGTTTCTAGGCTGCCGGGAGGTGGGACAGCTGGGCTTCCTGGGGGTCCCCCATCTGTCTACCTATTTTTCCCCAGATCTTGAGACCATCCCTACAGCAACAGGGAGGCAGCTGCTGGTGTCTGGGTGGTGGGGTATGGTCCGCCATCCCAACTACCTTGGAGACCTAATCATGGCTCTGGCCTGGTCCTTGCCATGTGGTGAGTGGCTTGGATGGGGCCACATACGTGTGAGGGGCAGAGATGGAGTGGTGACCGCAGGATATCCAGTCTGGGTGTGGAATGGAGAACGGGGCTGTACTCCAGTGGAGGGAGTGGTCAGGGAGCCGGGGCCGGACTCAGGATGCGGTTGGGGCAGATGTTGGCGCCAGCCCAGCGCTGCCAGCACCTTGTTGTGGAGCCTGGCTTCTCTGCGGTTGAGTGCTGATGCCGTGAGCCATTAGGTGTGGAAGCCTTTGTGGCCTGGGGGCTGGCTGAGTGGTCACAGCCCCCTCCCCACAGGCATGTCCCACCTGCTGCCCTACTTCTACTTCCTCTACTTCACGGTGCTGCTGGTGCACCGCGAGGGCCGGGATGAGCGGCAGTGCCTGCAGAAGTATGGCCTGGCCTGGCGCGAATACTGCCGGCGTGTGCCCTACCGAATCGTGCCCTACATCTACTGAAGCGGCTGCAGCCACGTAGGTCAGAGCACGTGCCCTCATCGGCCAGCACAGGCAGCATCAGGAGCCCGGACATACCTAGGACTCAAGGGTCTGTATCGGACCCTGCCCTGAGCTTCCACAGGCAGAGGAAAGGCAGCCAGTGCTCAAAAATGGAGTGCAGGGGCTGCTCTTCCTTCTCGGATAAACACCTAGAACCTTTGGTGGCGCTTCTCTCCTTTTCTGGGGTTGGGGTGTTTAAAAAAATTGGCTGTGTCAGTCCTGATCATGGAGAAGTTGAAAGGTAGTTTGTGGGCCCAATAGTCTGGAGTTGGGTGGGACAACAGCTGTCATTCAGAGATGGGCACCGCGGACAGGGCAGACCAATCACAGCTTTATTGATAACAAGGGGGTCCCCAGTTCAACCAGGAAGCTCCTCAATGAGAGTCCTGGGGGCAGGTGGCATGGGGCCTCCCCAAAGCCGCTCCAGCTCCCCAGTGAGGGCTGCCACTTCCTCAGCTGTCACAGCATGGGCCCGATGGGCCCTGGCACAGTCCAGAGCCAGGGCTGTGAGGACCACCTCGTTTTCATTGGTCCAAGACAGCAAGTACTGGCATTTCTTCCGGGCCCGGTAGAGGCGATCTCGCTCTTCGGTAGCCTCGGCCTGTTTTCGGGCCCGGCCCAGGGTCTGTGCCAGGTGCCCCAGTGCTGCCAGCGTGTAGCCCTTCTGGTTGGCTGGGCCCTCGCCCATGAGGATGCGGGCAGCCTCGCGCATGGCACCCCGTGTACCCAGGGGTCCGGGTGGATGCTCCCCTGCTTCCAGCACGTGGGCTGCAGCCTGTAGGGCTTCCTCGGCAGAGATGAAGACTTGCTGGGAGCCCAGGGCTCCCGAAACGCCGAGCAGAGTGTCGCAGAAGTCGGGGAGCAGCGCATCGTCGCCGCCGTGATACAGGGCAAGAGTGTGTGCATAGGCGAACAGCACGTTGGGCAGCTGGAAGCGCACGAGCGGCGAGGCCCGGCCGCGGCTCAGGCTGGCCAGTGCGGGGATCCGGGTGGGCACCGCGGGCGCGCAGGCTCCCGGGGCATCTCCGAGAACCATCTCGTCGGTGTTCAGGGCATCCGCGGCATCCTTCATGGGTTCCGGCCGCGTCCTTGCAGAGGCGGGTTCCAGATCCGCGGCGTCACCGCCCGGGGCATCATTTAGTTCCTCCAGAAGGCGCGGCTCTGCCCCGCGACCCCACCCCCACGGCTGCCAAAGGGGTAGCAGACGCCCTGCCTCGCCACGGTTCAG